GAAGTGGTCCAAAAGAAAATGTTGTGTGTTGTAGTCTGCAAAATGTGGTTGGGCGAGTACATGCCGTGTTGCCAACCACAATGGAAAATAGTTATTTCATTATTCACTTAAATAGACGGACAGCATTTACTCAAGTTTCCAAAAAGGGTGATGGGGAATCTTTTGAAAATTCCAGGGCTTGTTACATAATTAAACACGAGGGGCTTCTGGGTTCTGACAGCCCGAGTTTCAGCAGTGTAGATTACGTCTAAACAGGACCCAATCGTGTTTTGATGCTATGGTTATACAGTACTACATGCTGCCTCAGCCAGAGCCAAAGGGTTGCTCATCAAGGGCATAGAGGTACAGAACAGCCTGCAGAACACGCGCCTTGTACTGCAACGTGGACCAAAACAAGCTCCAAATGGAAGAGCACCAGAGCGGGGTCTGGGGGTGGGGCTCTGAGAGCCCTCTTGTCAGAATCGTGCACCGGCTGCCCACAAAATCGACTTGAAATTCTCCAGTATTAACCTTGATGTACAAGCTTTTGTTCCTCCAACACAAGCCCCTTGAAGTTAAATGTGTCTAAAGCTTTCTTGGCAATGGCATCTTGTAGCACTACAAGACCATTGCAGAATGCTAGGTGAAGGCAAGCAGTTCCTCATCAAACACTCACCTGAGCAAGTCGTCGCTACAAGATGGTGGTGCTGTCACCACCAAGGAGATTAATAATATATGAACTGTGGTATAGCCACACACAGCGTCGAATTCTTCCTGAGTTGACCCTATTCCATAAGGTTTTCTTCCCCGATTGAGAAAAGCAAATGTGGACTTGAAGTGCCACTTTCAGGTGCTTTGATTTGAGCACTGAATCTATGAGCAAATGAAAGCGTAGCCTAGGGCACTAGACAGTACTTGAGTCAGGTAGGAACATAATCAGTGGCCAAAACCACAATGTTGTCGCCATCCTCAAATGCATGCTTCGAAGTCGCTGCAGGCGCTGTGCAGCTGGTACCATTCTTGTCGATATAGCCAATGGCTGTCTCTCCATTTGCCCGGACCGCTTCTGCTGCCTCATGCCACGTGATTGCGCCCCTCCCCATCAATCCATAATCAGTGCAGTTCCTTATGTACATCTCCATTTTCGAAGGGTTCATGAGGTCTTGAACGACATGCGAGAGCTTAGGTTGTGCCGCAACCTGCGAGCAATGAGCATATTCTTAACTGCTGGCCCCTTGGGTTCACAGGGCTCTGTTATGAAAATCGATGCCCTGGATGTCACACTCCTGGACAACACCCGGTACAGCACCCACCAACATAGGCACCACTGTTTTAAGAAACCCCATTCTCCACGCACATCACAAATCACCGATACATAAGCCAATGAATACAGCCACGACCATTCGCGATACAGAATTCGATGTTTCCCACAGAAAATGGACGCCCAGGCACCAATCCAATCATTTCAACAGGTGTGGTTCACCAAACCAGTCTCGTTGTCCACCAGAGCTTGGCAGTATTGGGGTGCACAGCTCAGCAGCTTGGCCACGCAGACTGAACATTAACATGCAACACAACATCGCATATGTGTGCCGATTCCATGCAGGCAGTGCACCTGCATGCGTAGCTTTGGACATGTGGGCTTGCCTGTGTCAACACCCCACTCGAGAGCTCATCAGGGAGGAGCAAATCCACAGAGCTGCGCACACCCGTCCTGTTGGCCTCAGCCACCAAGTGGGTGGCAACCTCCTTTGTCCGAGGCTCGTTTATGGTAGCAACCACGTGGAGTGGCTTTGTGCGGGTCGTCTTGCTGCTCAGATCCTCTATCTGCAACACTGTGGACAGGACCTAGACCAACAGAAGCAAGCCTACAGGTGTGTCTCATGGGATGTGATACAAAGCAAGTAAATGGGCCATACAATTGAGCACCCTCCCCCATCCAGAGTAGTCAGCCTTCACCAGTTTTGGAGAGGTATAGACACCATAGCCAATGGAAGTAAATCACAAGAGCAAGAGAAGCAAAACGTGATGTGCCCCTTGGTTGTGTGAACATCACCAGCGACCACCACTACACTGCATGATGCAAAATCACCATATCACAGACTACACTTCCTTATCATTAATCTTTTTTGCCTATCATTAAATTCTCTTACACAGCCTTATCTTCAATAATAAACAATTGAATCATGCATTCATTTATTTATTTATTTACTTCCTTGGCTTGAAGCCAAATGCTGGTGGACATTATAGCTGTGCAGTCACCAAACTGAGCCAATGAATGCTGGTTCGACGGCCGGGCTGAGAGCGTTTGTGCCCTCACCTGAGCATCTGCAGTGCTTGCATCAAGCTCCTGCAGGCCAGCCACTATGACACTGTCACTGTCGTGAAGGCCTGCTTCCTCAAGAGCACGGAAGGATGCAGGACTCCCCTCCACAAAATGAACTCGAATATTGTGGTGTCTCTGTCCCCAAGAGGGGGGCTTCTCGCTGCAACACACAAACAAATGTGACAGCCAGAAAACAACAATTTGTACTCAGCCGCACTCGCACATTATCGATTTTGGTGTGAAGGACACAAAGAAAGTCTCATATACGCCACCCTGGGGTTCCAGAGGATGCCATTGTCACATTCCTTCATTAAGAAAGCTGAGGAACTCCCTTTTTTGCACTGCAAATCAGACATATACTCTGAGCAACAAGCAGGAAATATGGCACAGAAAAAGCAAGAATGGGCAACATTCAGTGACATTGTGTGACCACAGCTGCATTGATGTACCATCCTTACCTGCAAACCACAGTGATCTGAGTTCCCTTTGGTGCCAACTTATCAAATCCATCGAGCAGTCCATCAATTTTGTTCGTCCAGCCCAAGACAATAACTTTCTTTGACACCAGCTCTGCATAAGTTCTCTTCAAATTGTGAACCCAATCTGGTCCAGGACCGAGGGGTGTCGTCATTGGCTTAGTTTTGCTATAGTCTTGAGCAAGGAGCACAATCTGATCTCCCTCGTTGTAGATCTCATTCTCTGACGGGTTCAGCATCAGATTGTTACCCTTCAAGTAACCACATACAACCGCAGCATCGAAGTGCTTGCGGACGACATGGTGCGGTGACCCTGCAGAGCAGCTGTAGTGTTCAGAAGCATTCAGCAATGAGCACTCACAACATTGATACCTGCAACACCGGCAACACTAGGCTTTTAGTTTCATTCCAAAGATCGCTTCAAAGCTGCCACTTGTGCCCAGTTCGGATGACAAAATCCCACGGCCAGCACAAATTCATTTGCAAAGCACCACATCTGCTGTCCACCGGCCAACTTGGAAGTGGCAGCCAGCAAGTTGTTGTTGATTTGGGTTCCTCAGAAGCCGCTTGCTTTGGGCATGTTGTGGTCCTGGACATGACCCAACAGACCAGTTTGCGGCAGTTCCATACACAATTGGGCAGTGATATGCACCATCTTGTGGTACTGCTCTTGCAGGACGGCCCAGCTTTTCTCTCTCTCTGCAGCACCAACCTGGAACGAAATGAACATCACTGGTCGAACTACGGGGACGACATTCCTGTCTGTGGAAAGTTACTGGATGTCTTCGACTGAATCCAATCTTGCCTCAATCTCACTCTGGTACTTCTCCAGTTGAGGTTTGTTGAGGTTTAGCGGCTGTTGTTAACAAATCCAGAGACACTAATAACGACAAACAACAACAACAGGAGTAGCCCACCTGCCAAACTGGGATACCCATCAATATAGAACTCTCTGCCTTCACCCTGTTCCAGTATCTCTGAATACAAACTTCCAAGTCCAGGCTGCAGAGCGCATTGGGCAAGCATCCTATCCAGTGTCTGAGCAGCATGCATCTCCACTACATTGAGTTGGCTGCCTGTGGGAAGGGGAGGGTTGTTTCTTGCCATCATGACATCCGTCAGGCCTTCCATAGACTCTTCCTTCTCTGGTGATTGCACCACCAACTGTGTACATCTGTTTTTGCCTGTTCCTAGTGCCTTGAGGCTTGCAATGCTGGCGGCACGCTTGGCAGCAATCGTAGCCTGCAGAGGGGCATGTGCCAGTTCACAGAATAAGCAAATCAGCTTGTGGCAACCAGTACACCAAAATGCTTCCCTCCCTCCGATGCTCACCATACATCAATCATTACCTTTCACCAATGCTGGTGAACATCCTTTGTATTGGATGGAAGTACCCTGCACCGCCATTTAGGGAGTGTGTGCACACTGTGTCCCTGTCTTATTCCATTTACAAAAATCTGCCTTACCTCTCTTGCATTGAAGCATGTTCTAAGTGGGAATTTCCAACCTTCCATGAAACTTGCAAAAGGACAGGTTGGGAAACTGCAGTATTGAGTCCTGGGCTTTCAAGAGCAGGTCATTACAAATAGACTGGGCGACTCACGCCACCTTGCTGCCACAATTAAACAGTCATGAGGTGGATTCAGCAAGGCATGCAACAATTACAGGACAGCACATATGAACAAGCAAGCAGTGTTCACATATGGATACAGTGGCAATTCCAGCCACTAGATTCAACATTGTGGCAAGATTCAATGTACACTGTACCATGATGAACTTATGATGGGATCAGACACCAATAGTGTGGATGCAGTGCATGCAGATGCAGCACTGAATGAATGCCCTTGTGCATATGGACAGTGTCAAACAGCCAACACAGGGGCAGTGATTTGCCATCAATCAATAAGCGCAGAATCACCCAGGCAGAGAAAACAGCCAGCCAATGAATATCGATCACCTACATTGTCTTCATCCTCTGGTTGCAACATGATGATAGTCTGTGCCTGATCCGCTGCAACCTTCATCAAATCAGCTTTGTCGATCACATTTCCTCGACGTGTGTACACCTCAATATTGCACAGATCGCCATTGGCACGATTTACAATGTCATCCAGCTCCGACTTGTCCATATCAGCTAAAATGACCACTGGCTTGGAGAACGTGCCACTTCTCCTTTCGTGCTTGGCGTGGGACATCTGCGGCAAAAACATCAAACATCACTTTTCATACTGCCAACTGCAACAAGCACTGCACCTGACAACCTCAAAAACCCATGCATTGAATGTGTTAGGGTCCCATGCACGAGCCCTGCACGAGCTGTAAGGTCCAAGAACACTGAATTGACCTAAACGATGTGTGACATGCTGCCTGTATGTATGTCTAGCTCAATCGCCATGTTCTCAGAATCTTGCACTGCTGAGGTTGAGCAGCACTGAAGCTATTGGTGTGAAGTGAACATTGCGACAAGTGACAGCATGATTGGCGAAATTAAGAGCTGGCAGTGCAATGCACCAAAACTAGAAAATTAAATTCTCTTTTGCCAGTTCAGATTTCATCACATACACGGGTGCATGCAATGACTTGTCTTGAAAATACTTGATTGTCTTGTCCTCTTTTGGTTGTTGCATATTCATGCAGTTTTCAGCTTGTGGCCAACAAATCAGCCCAGCTATGATTGCAAGACAAAAGGAAGCATGCAATGCTACCAACAACGAAGGCAGAGCCTTTACTACTGACCTGTCTGAGCACAGAGGGCAGCTGTCTGTTCACATTCAGAACAACAGTGTGACCTTCCTCCACCACATCAGTGTTTCCATTGCGAACGTTGGTGACAAATGTAGAAATGTCATCACACACAACACCAAGCACGACTGCAAATGTCAGCAGCCCATAAAGAAAAATGATGTTTGCAATTATGGTGGCCCCATTGCTTTCTTCAGCAGCTGCATCACCTCCTGCACTTGCACCACATTCCAACTGATAAGTGGCTGTCATTGTGCTGTTCCAGTCTGCATATAAATCTCCGCTTCAAGAACAAGTACCTCGTGCTTTTGTTCGTATTCACCATCTGCCCTCAGGGCAAAGACACATAGAATCATGGTTCTATCAGTATTCCAGCAAACGACAAAATACTTGGCACATTCTGCTGAACTCCTAAACTATACAGTAGTCCTCCTCCAAAGAAGAACGAAAAGGAAAACCATGGAACACATTGATACCAAATTTTCTGACACCAGTATTAGCAGCGTCAAACTAACTTTGGATTAGTGCCCACATTCCATTGACGCATGATCGAGTTGTGGTGATCATTGGTTCCGTCAGCCTAGCTGGGAAGCCGTTGGTGCAGAGAAGACTCTGCATACCACAGGAATAAAGCCAATACAACATGATTGCAGACACCATAATTGTGGCCTGCACAAACCCTGGCCTGCTGCCCTAATGAAATGCAGGGAGTGGTGGAATTGCTGTGGGGGTGGCAGTGCAGGGGATGCTGTGGAAAACAAGGGTCCATCGCGTCAAAACCATGGGGCCGCGATGGACAAAAAGCACATCAGTGTTGTAAACAGGGATGGCTTTGTGCCACTGCGTAAGGCTACCCAGCAGAACAAAGACATGCCCTGAGCACTATGGTTCAATAAATTGCAGGAGGATGAAGTCCCTCAAAATGCACAGCGAATTCTTAGAAATGCGGAAATGGTAAACATAATATGTTGCACACACCAGGACACAAAAATGCGGCATGTGGTGTGACACTGGGCGTAATGGGGTGGAGTATTGCCAGTATGTCATGGCAGCAAAGAGAGGCCATTCATCGTCCAATCAGTGCAATGACCAAGGTATGCCCAATTTTGATAGATGCAATCAAGGCCAAGTCACACCGTACTGGAAAAATGCTATTGGTGCCAAGTGCCCATGTTCCACAGCATTACTAAGGTGGAATGAGCGCAAGGTGGGCTGCAAGTTGCTCTCACCTGGTACGTCACCCATTAAGAGATAGGCCCTGAAAAATGCGAGATGCCAAGGACAGTTCGTCACCATCCGATAAGCAACCCCTCCAACCAATATAATTGGCAGTGCGACTGCAAGGATCGCCAGCAGCTTTCCACCCATGTTCTTCATCATGATCTGGTAGAACAAACGGGCAGATGGTTCAGCAGTGCTTTCCGTCCATCAGTCACAAAACTGTTGTTGTGCATGGAGGTGCAGTAACAGGGAACCGTCTGATTCTCCCTGTTGTCCTTCGTTTTGAGATAGGGGAGGGCCAAGTTCATATCACACATTATGTCGGCAGCCCGTGATATGAATGTGCACATTAAGTTTATGACGTTTTTGAATACTGTCCTATTCGTTGTGCTGCATTTGGCACTATCTGTATATTAATTCCAACTGCCCTGCCCAACATTTCTTCCCTTGTCGTTGGCCCGATGCTCGTCCAATGCAACGATGGCCACAACACTCTCAATGAGCAGCCGTACACATTGCTGTTTTCGCCGGCATGGCACAACTGCGCAGCGGCGACCGATACTTGAACCGGCCACGTTGATTGGCTTGACCATTGCGCATGTGCAAGCCAAGGGCCGTTTGTGGGATGCGGACAGACACTTCCCCAATACAAGTTGTTGGCGAAAAGCAAAGAAAACGCACACGCACACGTAGTAAGTCAAACGCCCTGATCAGCCGCAACAGACGCCGAACATCGTTCAGAATTCCCCGTTCATCCACGCCTTTTAGCTGCTGTGCCGTTGCCCACCCATTCACCCATTTCCGCGCCCCGCACACGATCGGCAACGGCACCCTGCCGGCCGACTCACCTTCTGCACCCTGTAACGTAGCGCAGTCCTCCAGCTCACCCTCCGCCCCGCCTCGCCCCGATTGGCCTGCGCGATCGAGGCCCACCTCCCGGACGTCCCCGCCCGTCCACCCCCGCGATCCACGGCCCTGGCGGCCGAGACCGACGCCCCGACCCCACCTCCCCGTGCCGATCCGATCCCGCTCGGCAGCCGCGACGCCAGGCAGCACGCGACTGCCAGCCCCACGCACACGGCCGGCCGCAGTCGATCCATGATCCCGCCATCCGCCTGCTCACCAATCTCCACGCTCATCGCATGCCTCTCACCATGCCCGGCATTCCCCCCGGACGCGCTGCACATGGCATTTCCCACTCCCTTGCCCCGAGCTTGGCGTTCCCTGCCGCCTCGAATGAGAAGCCGATCGCAATCCAGGCGACCGCTGTTCCTGGGGATGCGGACGCGGCAGGCGTGCGCTCGCGGCGGCACCGGGGCCACCCCGATCGCGCCTCGAGGGCAGCACCCCCCCGACCGGGCCCCCGGGACCGCCCGCCGTCCCTCCCAGGAGGAACCCATCCGCATGCGCGGCCTCCTGCGAGAGAGCGCCTCCTCTGGGGTGCATTACCCCCGGGCCGGGAGGTATTGAAGACGCGGCCCCTGTGATGGGTCGCGCACGGGGGCTTATGTCAGCAGCAGACACAGGATCCAGATCTGGAACCTAGGTGACAAACGTTTGTGCCTTAACCGGTCTCCTGAGCCCACTCAGTCATGATGTCCCCCATGACGAAACACTTGCAACCAACGTACTACACCCGAGGTTCCCGTCCTTCAAGTTTGCCCTTCGCTTCGCTAGTACTTAGCGCCACTCAGAAGCTGACGCACCCATGAGTCAGCTTCCTGATCCAGTGCTTCACTCCATTCACTACCTCTCCATCCCACAACTAAACCGAACACCACTTTCTAGGGCGGGAGGGCTGGGTGCGAAACAAGATAGAGGGGACCGAGGGGCGCCTAAATGGCCACCCCCGCTCAGCCCCGCCAAAGCCCACCAAGCCGAGGGCGCCAAGGTTGGCGGCACCTCGTGTTTTAGTACTTTGACTGACTCACGGTACTAGGGTGGCCAGAAGTCCCAAGGGGGCGGGGGCTGAGTGAGCCCCAGGTTCAAACTGCACCGTTTGAATCACCGGCGCAGGCCACCCGTCGTCTCCCTTGGCAGAAACCCACTAACATGATAGTTAACTTCATTGTTCACCGCGGCCCAGTGATCGGCGCGGCGCGGCGCGCTCATGGGCGGCTGTTGGTGACCCACCACTCATTAGGCGTTGCGAGCTATTTTTTAATGGAATTCGGCCTCTTTGGTGAGGCTGCGTGTTCTTTAGATGCTTGCACTCCAAGCTGCTGAAGGGAAGGCAGAGTCGGCCATAAGTATTGAGTTTCGTGGCGCATGGGATGACCCCAACAAGCCCTCAACGCAAACATTAAAATCTGCACATTGTTGAAACAATTTACCATTCGAGAGATTCACCGAGGAAACTGCTCCTCGGGATTTTGAACATTTATTTCGTTAATCCCTTGCTGTTAACAAGACTTAGATTCAGGTTGAAGATGTTCTTATAAAAGGCAACGCTCGTGAATCGCATGGCCTGTTGCGGCTGTTCGTGACAGAATTCTTCCATCACAATTTGTGAATCGGATAAAGGATAACATGATAGAACAGAATGAGCAAAGGCTGGGCTTCGTCCAATGTGTTGTATCACGTGACCCTTTGTAGAGCTAGAAAGCATAGTAGTAGTAACCTCACAAAGCATTTCTCGCAAATGGGTCCAGACATTGGAGTTGCATTTGAGCGCGTGTTCATGCTGTGAGTAATTCAACAATTCTGTGACAACTATGGGATAATGCACTGTTCTGAATTGCGTGGAGACACCAAGAGAATTTCCCTCCGAACACGCAAGAACGATGTGTTGATCATAGACAAAAACTTTTCACCAGGGTATCTTGTCTGCAAGGAAAGTTGTGGGGAAGTTGCAACTTCCTTGCCAGCAATTGCTGGTTATTTCCGCGGCCTGACGGGTTCCGATCGCCCATCTGAAACATTACAATGCGAAAGGACTTCTAGAAATCCTTTCGCATTGGGAAATCGGGGATCTGGAATTTTCCAATCTGCAATCTGGACGAATAAGAATCACCAGACCAATGATGCAAGGGGTGAAGAATTCAACGTCTGGGTGGTGGACTACAGTTGAAAGGTCAGCTTTCCCTTTTTGCCTTGCATTGCGTTCTTTCATATGTTCCCAAAGTCCCTACATTCCAGTATTTCTATCCCGTGCTGATTTCTGCGTGCATCAAGTTTTTAGTGTGTCATGTTTGTGTGAATGCTGTTTCAGCCCATTTTCGCCATTGAATACTTTGGTATCAATAAACACAGAAAAAACCCTCGCGCCAACATGTTTTGCAACTGGACTAAGCTTTCCAGAACGCAGATATTGTGGTTTGGGGCTTCCTGTCTTAAGGCAGTCATTATGCTGGTATAGGTGACTCAGACAATTTTCCGTGAACCCCAACTCAAGAGGCCCTCAGGTCTGAGAGCTCTAGAGCCGCCATCCATCACATAACCACAATGCTCGTTACTTCAAAAGGAAACGCAGCACTAAGCAAATAAGGCGCGATCAATAAGATCTAGTTGCAGGCACCTTCAGCTATCCCAATTGCCATGGAACATAGCAGAGTTCGTGCCCAGCCACGCCCTTTTTAGTCCATGCCCTCACAGGCAGCCTGCCAGGTCATCGATACACAATCTATGCTCCCAGTGAACGGCAGAGAATGTTGAAGGTTTTGACTACCACGAACTGCGTCGTGGTTCGTGCACCGATGGGCGCACATCGATCCGCCGTCGCTTATTCCCAGCTGAATGCGGTGTGGTCGCAATGGTCATTTAAAGCTTTCTGCATGGCCTTGGCGAGCACCTGCTTTGGGAACTTGAGCTCAAGGGATGGCAGAGCCCCTGGAGTGGAAGGTGGTTTTGGCTGCATCTCGTTGTACGTTCCTGCTTTCAGAGAGTCGTCGTCCCATACGCCGTCAAGCCTGCAGAGTGCTCGATTCCCAAGTAACCACGACGACGACGAAGAAGAAGATTTGCCACATATGGTGCTGCGAAAAAAAGTGCACGCCACCATCCGTGCTACATTCTCAATACATGACCAAGCAGCCACGAAGCAAGCAAGAAACTCAAGATAAAATTTGAGTCAGCCGTGGATCATGTTTCGGTTAAATACGGCTGACATATGACTTACTGCAAATCTGCAATAGTGGCCCCTCTTCAAGAAGTGACTCCACTTTGCAAGGTGGAATGTCAGTTGAAATGAGTAGTTCCCCTCGAATTTGCACTGAATTCTAGTAAATTAACCCCGTGCTACATCCATTTGAATGTTCGAAGCCCTTTCCAGATTACGCCGAAACCATGAATGAATAGAGACTTGCTGCGCAACCCCAGCATGTCACATCGTGATCATCGGCCGCCGATACTCTTCATAGTGAACAATTCTTGCATGCCACATGTGGTACAACGCCGCTGTGCCATTTAAGTCTGCGACTTTACCCTGTAACCTCGTTTTCTCAACACGCCGCAAAACAGAGAAAAAACACCCGTTTATGTGTTGTTGTGTGTAAAAACGCCAACATAAAAATGGTGTCATAAACGCAAAGACCAAGCCTACTCCGACGCCATCTGCGGCGCAGCACATGCATAGATCATGCTTGGGATGCTGTACATTGCGTTGATTTGTAGGCCATGCCCTTGTCTACGAGTTTTGTGGATGACCAACCACACCTCTTTCCTTTGGACATAAAGTAGTACGTTCCGTGTCCACTCTTTTTGTCGCCCCGCCAGTAGCCTTCGTATATGTCACCGTTCTCATATGTCATTGTTCCTCGGCCGTGCCTGAGAAATGCCATGCTGATTTGAGAAGAACCGACCATCGTACTGCTTCCAATGACTTTGCACATATGCGGAACCTGCCATGGAAATTCCACATTTTCTGGCCTGAGGGTGTTACTACAAAGTGCTGTAAAATCCACAGTATTTGGTGAATTGACTTAGTTTTTCGACTGCATGCTCCAAGGTCTTGTGAAAACCGTTGGATTCAATTTCGTTGAAAATTGTATTGCCTGTGGTTGAGAAAGGTGCGTCGAGTTCACAATGTGCAGTTAATATTGGACAGAGAAATCAGCAGTACGGAGTCAGGGCTGCGATTGAGGATTGAGATCAGGATTCAAGATTGACGGGGATTGGGCTCCCCTGCTTTCCAGTGGAGTGAATGGTCAGGGCCGGAAACTAACTGTGCAATGAACAAATGCATCCTTTGGTGCAAAGCACTGAGCCGTAGCGGATGCGCCACATGCCCTTTCCAACTGCGATTGTGCACTTGGGGGGAAGGGGGGGGGCAACTTACTTTAAATTGTTGTCCCAGTCTCCCTCATAGACATTGCCTCCGAATCCATCAATGGCCCTTCCACCATAGACAGCGCGTCCCCTCCCCTGCCGTTTTCCATTCTCCCAATGTCCTTCGTACATGTTTCCGTCCTCGTCGTAGAACAAGCCTTTGCCCTGATGACGGTTAAAAAAGACCTCTCTGGGCGAACAGGGCAATGAGAGTCACCGACTTGTACCATCCTTTCAGATTTTTTTCAAGGAAAAGCTTATATTGCATCGAAGAACTTTTTCCATTGCGGACTCACCATTGCGCCAGCCCTGGGAAAGTTCTTGCAGTGCTGACCCTGGCATTAGAGCGCTATTTGCAAAATATGGCACACTAACCACGTGTTTTTCGAAGTACCAGGCTTGGTGTTTACTTGTGCATTTTCACGTTTTCACGTTTGCGTTTTAGTGTGTACAAGACGTAAGCACACAGAGGCGGCTATTTATACAGCTGTGTTTACGCATTTTTGCGGCACTTTGGCACACTCAGGTTGCATGATGAAGTCGCATACAACGATCAGTCCTCCGGCCCACGAGCACACGCAACACAGCGGCGACCACGCCCCTGGCAAGGGCAACGGCGGCGTCGAAACAATAATTCGATATCTGCCCACTCCTGTGCGGCTGGCTGCCACTCCCCGGACTCCCTAAGTCTGTGTGTACTGTTTTTGTGTAGACGGGGCTGTATTTACGTCTGTATTTACATATTTTTATGCATGTTTGGTAAACATGATTACCCGTAAACATTGTTTTCGCGTCAAAAGTTAAACATTATTCTTATGCGTATAAACGCAAATACGGTCTGTGTTTACGCCGTACATACCAAGCCTGTGAAATTGGTATACGGCAATATCAGCAAGCAAGCGCGCTCTGTAAACAGTTTGCTTCAATCGAGTTCAATCTTCTTGAAATTCAGGGGAAGTGTGTTGCTCAATAGTTGCTTTTTGTGGAGCATCCATCACGCGTGCAGTGGTGCCCAACAAGTGCTGTCTCGGCTCTGCATTACGCAATCTCTTCCCGCCAATTTGAGACGCCCACAAATGAACCACTATGGTGACAATCCTTCATTTCCGTCTCATGCATCACTCTTAGGACTGCGAACGGGATCGATCCTCACCATCGGCACATTGGCCTCCCAGCTTCCGTTGTACCGGAGCCTGTACTTTCCGTCGTGGAATATCCAGAGAGTCCCCAACCCTTCGCGCATCCCATTTTTCCAGTCTCCTTCATATTTGTCGCCGTTCCTATAGAAGTGTGTACCTTTTCCTGATGTCGCACCCAAAAAAAAATTTCTTCACGCTTCCCATATTTGCGCCGGGCGCAACACTTTATGAACATGTGGAGCATGCACTGCGATTGCAATGCATGACGGATCCCCGGAAGTGTGGTCCACATTTCCGCTAATTCTGCCAGCAGGGCATACTTCCACTGAAGTCAATAGCCCCATACAACCACAAGAACAGCAATATGTTCAATGTTTGCGCCAATGGTGGCAATTAATTGCAACGACACCCCCATTCTTGCGTATTATTGCCTATATTCGGTCCTTCGACCTGAATGTAGCATTGTCATGTCAATGGGGTAAAAATGTAAAGTAAGATGTATATAATGGAAATTTCCAAGTTGAAATCGCAAATATAATTTGACAAAAATTTCAATTGGTGGCAAAGATGATGCCACTGTTCTTAATTTTCTGGCGAGTTGCAACATTGCAAACTGACAGTGAGCAGAAATTGGACAAGATCTATTGTTTTCTTCTTTTTCCTTGTGGGCAATGCAGAGAAGCATTGAAGTGTACTGCCGAGATTCCCCAAATACACTACTTCTACTGAAATCATGAATGGCGCTGCCCGCTGCTGTTCAGGACGCATCAATTTTCCAGCCATATCCCAATATGGCGGAACGCACAGCTTCATCAAGTTTGGTAGCTTCAGTCTGCGTCTGGTACTGAGACGAGCATCTGCAGCTTACTCATTGGCTTCAAAAGTTCCGATATTTCATGTCGAGATGTAAAATCCAATATTTGCAGGTGTTTCCCTACGAATCTGTCACCATCGCGTTTGTTGCCTCCCCATTCTCCGACGTACTGCGCTCCATTCACCCAGTAGACGGTGTGTCTCGATCCTTCCTTCTCGGCCTGACCAGGAACAAATAAATGGGCGTTGGCTCCCAAGAACTTTCCAGTGTCTTGCATTAAAATACAAGGACTCATGGCAGCATCCGTAGCGGAACCTTGTGACATTAGAGGTGCGTTTCCTGAGGCGCAGCATGCATATTGTGAGTCGGAAAAATTTGGGTATGACCTTCACCCTGGAGCACCTCTTCTGTATGCAAAATATTTGTCAATAAAGTGTATGTCCTGGCATGAAATTTGCCATCATTAGTTCAAGATAGATATTTTTGCTGTACCGACTTGACATCAAATCGTAGGGTTTCTGCGAGTGCCCCTTGATCTGCTGATTTCACTTCACCATAAGATGGACAATCAATGTCAAACCGATCCGCTGGAGATGCGCATGTCCTACTAGTATTTGGTTCAGTACTTGGAACTAAATGAAACGCGTAGAGGTTCCCATACATGGCTGCACCGAGTCGATTGGCATTTCTCATACAATGCTGCTACGGCCTCAACGCTTTCAAAACCCCAAAACGGCAAACAAGAACTTTGTGCTTGTTCAGCTCACCGCTCTTTCCCAAGTCTTCCACAATTGTTGCGTCTTCCGAAGCGAGTCCGCAGTTAGCGTCCCTTCTACGTGTGGCGGCATTTTGACACAGTGGAGCAGAAACTTGTTTGCACATGAGCACGCATGTCCTCTCCAGGTGGCATATGCCGTTGACCTGTCAAACACGTTAGGCAAGATCGGACAGAAGCAACAATCATCATCATCATCATGATTTTTTACAGAACAAGCCAATGAGGTAGCCGTCAGCTTCCTATTTTGCCTGAGCAAAGCAGTGTCGGTGATTGGTTCATTGGAAGCAACAATCACCCACCTCTTAGCCAATCAATCGAGAAATGTTACATGTCGACGTCATCATCAAACAGGCCAATTCTGACCTGTCAACCAGGAATGCTGCACGCAGGTGTTTTCCACAGAAGTAACATATTCGTACATTTTGTTGTATTAAAGTGTACACCAAAGTTGAACCGGCGTACATCAGCAAGAGATGAGATGATGTTCTGCAGCAGCGCTGTAAGTTTTCTTGCCAGTTTCACGAATAATAGTTGTCTTTAAAAAGGCGGCAGGGAAGAGACTATGTCGAAATTGTTACGCTCGGCGTTAATTCGATGAGGGGGGGGAGGATCCTAGAACTGTGACGCTGAGATTGCAAAAAAATCGACATAAGCTGGAAAGATGCCAAAAAGCGCTGCTGATCAGCAGCAAAACACTCATGAATTGCTCACAAAACCTCCCTGAAATGTGCAGTCATCGGGGAATTCCTTAGAATGTGTCAATTTACAGCTATCAAGGCTACCCGCCTTCTCTATAATGGCTTTAAAACCCTATTTTCCTGCCCATCATATTTGCACACAACTTTGAGGGTTTTTTCTTCTCAATACCAGCCAGATTTTTTGTTCCGCTGTTACGTTTTGTCGCTGAGTCATCCTGGCATCGACATAAGGATTGGTGCTTGGGGTTTCTGCTTAATGTGAAATTGACGGTAAGCGTAAAAAAATCGACATAGCACCTTCCCTTAGTGCATCTCCGCAGCGTGTTAGCTCACAACGAACAATGCTGAAATTTGACTCAATCTTCCTTGAGAAAGCATTGCCAAACGATGTGAGAAGTTCCTTAAAAGTATGCCGTAGTCCCCATATTAAAGGTCATCAAGATTCCCCTGGCGCCACAAAGTTGTGAATCAGCCAAAAAACCCGGTGGGGACGATCCTCAGCTGCCAATGGAGTGCCACTACCTCTCAATTCTGCACAGCCAATCCACCCCGAATGACTAGAATGCAAGCACTCGCAAATGGGCAACATTCAATTTGCCGGAGATTGCTCTGACGTGACCAGTTTATCAGTTTGCAGTTTGCCCGTTACTCTGGACATTGTTAAGCAAATTAGCTTTCCAAAGTCAGCACCGCATCTGGTTTTCAACGTAGCTCGCTCAAGGCACCATGACATTTCCATCCGTGTCTGCATACAACATCCAGCTCGCACCAGGCGGCCGCGGTAGAGCACGCCCCGGCTGGATTCACAGCGGCGTGCATCCTGCTGATCGAGGCGTACCACGGGAAGGGGCAATACGAGCAACCGGCAGAGGCGCTACAAGGCCTCGCGGATGCCATCCCTCAGTTTCAGCAAGCAGCAATACATTGATTTTGACAGCGTTTGAGAAGCATCTTCAGGCAACGCCGTGGCGAGCCCTTGATAACATTGGTCTGTAACAATGGACTGCTCCACTTATTCCCCCCCGTTCCTTTTGGCAAGCGGTCATGGTCGCCCCGGAAGGCTGCATTAATGAGCGCAGCACCCTGCAGTGCCAAATGCCCTGCAACCAGTATTCGCAATTTCGGCTGGTGGGCATTGTGTTGAGGCTGCGAGTTGCAGGCCCACACAGCTCTCTCCTGCACTGTCGGCCAGTCAAGGCTGAATAGCGCTCCCATCCTGCGATGTGGCATTCAACATCGCTGGTAATGGCTGGGAGCAAAGTTCCATTCACAAGGAGCTGGCCTTCGTACCGAACAAAATGGCACCACCACCATGCCTGTATACATGTGATACCGTACCAAGTTGCGTTGCAACTCAATTTGTACTGGGTTGGAAGTTGTCCCCCGTTCCTCCTGGCCCTATACTAAGCGTCAAGCGCACGATTTTCTGGTACCACATGTAAAGCAATATGTGCCTTGCACTAATCGTGCATGACGTGTGTCTCTGAAGCGTCATCAGCGGGATCCCTCTTTATGTGGTGGACAAGAAGCCAGCGATTATGTGACTCTCACGGCTGCGTGCTCATCTCTGTCATGGAACGAAATTTGCAAGGGGCATCGCACCTTCGCATCTGCCTGCACTCGAACCAACAGAAGGCAACCAACATGTCGTCAAGCATTCTGCAGCCCTTCAAAATTGCAAGCGCCCATTCATCAAGCGCCCGACCGTCAAGCACTGCCTTACATCCAGCGCACAGGTGTGCACGCGACACGAAGGGCAGCCAAAGACTTCAGTTCGTAGAAGTGCAGTTCAGCCGGCAGGCTGTCCTGCTTCAGCAGGACGCGCTGCACAGCACATGCCCGGCATCAATACGATCTCCTTGCCCGGCACAACTGGCCATCTAATTGTTGCAGACCAATTTCAAAAACCCTCCTGTGTACAAGGGGGCCGACACTGTAGACAGTCGCTCAGTGGAACAATGAATTGGCGCGTCTCTTTTCCACGCACACAGCCTCCAGCACCGCCTCACTGTCCCTGCCACGATCATCACGACTCCTGCTTATACTCCCTGAGAATAACCTGCACGCTCGTGGTGGGGATCATCCCGAGCTCAGTGACGATCAAGTTCACGTATTCTGCTGGCATCAGGTCGTACTTTAGATTCAGCAAACTGAGCTTCTCTTTGTCCTGCCAGCCCTTCAGGCCGTCGATGTGCGGCTGCGTCTCCACTGTGCTGATCATGTTCGGATCGCCAAGCTCGTTCTGCGTGAAAGAATCCAGCTGGACCTGGTCATGAAACTTGCAAGTTTCGGAGGTGACAATCACTGGGACGTTGTGGGCATGTGCCATCATCGCCACTGCAGCCGTGCCTAAGCGACCCACGACCCTGCCATTGGACAACACTGCTGAGGCACCCAGGACGACCTGCATGCACCACAAACCACAAGGCGAGTGAATACATGCATAGCGCGCGTCCACAGTGGTCATGCCATGTGTCCTTTCCCAACAAGCAATCCCACGGCAAAACAGACCGTCTGCACAAATGCATCCGCCAGCACCACCATATATTGTGCACACTGCGCCACACGCTCCTCCGGCCTCCCATTTCTGTTGATGACCGATGCCTACAGCTGTGTCTGGCAATCAGTTCCTGGCAGCAAAGCTGTTGGAGCAGTTGAAAATGGAATGCAAGGCGGGCTCGCAAAAGGTGATTATATGCCTGCACTGCCACTATTCCCAATTGACTTTAGGTCGATCGAATACCTTCGTTGCTTCTTTCATCACACACGAAATTGCATTTACATAGGCATATGTGCAGGAGATGCCCTCCTTCACAAGATCCTGGAGCATTCTTTGGCCGTCCAACTCAGGGCGAGAGTCGACCACCACGACGCGGAAGCTACGTTGGAGTTCTGTCTTGGCCTCCTTCAGAACTCGCATCACGGTGTTCGACCATGAAAATGTCAGTATCACATCCCCATCGCGAACCTGAAGAATCACCAAGGACAGTGGCACAGGTCACACCATCAGCCAAGCAGCCTCGATTTTCAAACTTAAACATCCGTGGTATCCATGGCATGTTAGCTCAAACTGTGTGCATTGCTCAGCCAGTGCAAAGCCAGGAACCAACAAAATGGTGCTGTACACAGATCACAGTGGGCAATGGCACTTTCAACATCATTGCTTACATTGGGGTGCTCAGCATACAGCATGCTCCTTCTTTCTCAACGACTGGCAAAACAATGAGCAACACCACCACCTGTATTTGGCATCTCCATTCAGTAACCTCTCAGTTTCCACCATGCCTGTATCCCTCAAACCTGGGGTGCCAGGACATGGTTGACCTGCCTCTGTTGAAGGCGAAGCACCGAGAAAAGACTCACACTGGGAGCTGTGGAACAGCCAGGCACAGCCCACCTTTTCAGCAGCATGCTGGGACAAGGCACGCACAGCGTCTGTGATCCTCTCATGTGCATACTGCCGAATCATTTCCTCCACACAGGATATGCCTTCTCCAAGAGGTATGCCAGGATCGACCTTCGAAATTCTCAGCTTCACGTGCTTTATGGCATTCTTCATGCTCATGTTCAGTGGCCGGCACTCCACCAGGAAGTTGATGTTCGGACTCAAAACGGCCGTCAGCTCTCGTGGTTGGAAGGTCCCATCGATGCTTCTGAAATCTTGCACAACCTGAAAGCAGTGCAAAACACCACCAATCCTTACATTGCCCAGCCAAGCAAACAACTTCCATCGAACACAAGGCCATGGACAACCTCACTGAATCACAGCTGCTTTCTCCTAGCACGAAGGACGGACTCATTTGTGTGTTGCAGATGCTTACATGGTGATGATCGGCCAAAGTCCCAACCAAGAGCGACCAGCTAGGTGAAAGGGCTTAGCTCCGCCACGTGGTGACATATGTAAGAAACATTTCAGAAACTAATTCACTCGTCCCTTGCCCACTTGGCGCCACACTACAAATCCCAATGGCAAGCCTTCTCCAAGAACAACCTTTAGGATATGCCATCCATGTCCTGGCATGGGCCTACCTGGACAAATGCTTCCAACATTGCTGCTGTCCTGGCATTTCCGCCACGCACTGTCCCATCTGCAAACTGCAGCCCCAGCTGAAGAATAGCTGGATGCAATTCCCACGTTCCAGGTCTTCGTACAACCTCTGCTTTCGATATCTGCTTGTATTCTTGTAGGTGGCCAAACAGCATGGCGGGCTGGGCCACAATGATGCCGCCACTGCCTGCTTGCTTTCCTGCACCCTTCTGAGCTGGTTTTGCCCCAGTTTTCTTAGAGGACTTTTGCTGCTTCTCTCCAGACTTTTCCGCTGCTGCACTAGCCACACTGGCAGTGGCAGCACTTGCCTTGGGCGCCTTCTGGGATGCTGAATCGCTGTCCTTTCGAGTGTGTTTGGCTTTTGGAGTCCGCTGGCCAGGTTGCGGAGTCTGTGATGCAGTTTCCACAGCAACATCTGCGCCTGTGGATCGGACAGCGTATTGGCTGTTCGCAGTTTATTTCTCCAACATCGATGGATTAGTTTCAGGTTTTGATGTGATGGGCTTGAAGCTAATGCTGCCCACACTGCCAATATATATTGCCCATATCGCAGCACAACACTTGGACAACAAATTTGGGAAGAATGCAGCGAGTGACTGCTTCAACTGCTGAGACAACACAGCAATTTATCTGCCACGCAGTCAATCAACTTTATGAACACTCCCAGAGGCCTTGTGAATGGATGTGCTGTTCATGATCCACCAGGCACCTCAAAAGAGACCTTTGAAAAGGCAATGCTGGTCAGCCACAACTGACAAGCGATAGTTGTATTGCATGAATTTGTCATCTTGCCATACAAAACCTTCTTTGGCAACTGGGCTGCTTACAAGGTACTTCGTCTTTGAACTGGATCCTCTGAGAAGAAAAATGGCAAGCCCCAGCGCCCAGTTGTGCATCAGTTTATTGCCCAGCAGCCATTCATCAGCAAACAGTGCTTCAAGCAGCATACACCATCACCAGTTTCCTCCACAGAGTGAGCAACTTGGCAGTGGCACCCCCCTCACCTTCATGCCTGCATCACTGAAACAGGAAGGTGACGAACAGGTGGCAAATGGATGGATGGCACTCACCACTCTGCTCTGTCTTCTCCATTTCCTTGTTGCTGGATGCAACCGCATGTGGGGATGGCGACTGCGGCTGTGGAGATGGTGCAGCCTGCTGAGCCACCATTGAAGTGAGGGAGGGCTGAGATTGCAGTCCAGGTGGACCGCTCTGGCCCTCAGCTGCACCAAATGGCTGGGCAGGGGAAGGGGAGCATGGCAGGGGAGACGGGCTTGTGGTCCCTGCAGAAGGGGGCCTCACATAATCCACATCCCCTGGAGCAGGGATTCTGACTTGATCGCCCACATCAGCCTTCTCAAGGCTGCGTCGGAGGGCAGACTCGGCAAAAGGAGTGGAGCTGCGCCAAGCACCAATTTCTGCTGGTGTGCCTGTGCAAAAGCAGCACAGGTTATCAATACAATTATATGCTAAAGATGTGGTTCTATTCAATCAAAACATGTCCTGACAAGGTAGAGACAACACTGAGAGATCCTTGCCCCTCTTCAGCTCAATCGGCACATGGAGCTTCGAATCTGCATTCTTCAATGCAGCGGCTCCCCCAGGGAAGGATGGGAGCAAGCTCCAGGCACCGTCGCACAGCTGCCAGCTGTGGCCAACAGAGAGGAGTTGTCCCAGCAAACCTAGAACCTGGTGATAATAATCAAGAAACACCACCCAATTCCGTATAATGGATTATCAGCAAACATCAAGTTGCAGAAATTTCTCTTCAGGTGTTGGAATTGCATCGAACACTTTTTTGGTGAGATGACACCATACCAGGATTGGTTGTAACTCGTAGCCTATCAAGTGGGGCGGCTGGCACTGTTGGCGAAGGCTCCATTTGACTGCTGACACACACAGAATTCAGGAGAACAAAGCCAGTGGTCACGGAGAGCACACATAGCCCAGCACCGTCTTGCAATGCCATAAAACTGTGCAGAAACCGCAGAGATGGCAGATGACAACATCTGGCCCCCCACAGAAGGAAGAAGTTTCGTTGAGCCACCCCAGCACTGCCAACACTGTTGGGCTGGCCGTGTTTCTGAGCTTCATTGATTTGAGTGCTTTGCGATCCTCGCCCTGATTCTTCCACACTGGTTGGCCCCCAATTTGTCTGGCCATTGTGGCAAGCAAGGTATGCCAAATTGGAGTTGGGAAGTGCCCCACTGATGCCGCTTTCAAAGGGCACAAAGATTGTCCTCTCCAACAGCATGTGAGGTTGATGTGGAAAGGACATTCTTCACCTTGAATTATCCGAGCCAACCTGAACACAGCATTCCAGAGTTAATTCATACCAAGGGTGGAGTCTCATGAAATACAACATTGACTGAATTCTGAGAGACATCGTCCAGAGCTGACAGGCTCATCAGCAGCCAACTGCGCCAGATCAGGCTGGAGCGCAAGCCCACAGTGCCCATTTAGGCCACCAGCTCGAGTTGTCCTCCGATCACACAGGCAGGGCATGTGGGGTCCAAAGTAGCCCCGTAGTGCTGTGCACAGAGGAGCAAACAGACGTAACAGCTGTGCAGCAGAAGTTACGTCCATGGGCTCACCGGCGGCCCACATGTCAACGCGAGCCTGGCTTTTGAGCGCAAGCATCAGATCCCTGTCCCAAGGCATGGCGACTGAAAGTGCCCACATGCCCAATCCCAACCCCGGACATTGCGAGCGCACGACCAGCACCGAATCAACAGCCCAGCCTTGTTCAAAAGGCGGGATCAACTTCGGGCCTCGCAGAGGCGCGCGCGCTGCCAATGTCCGGGTTCTTGGCAGATCCCGGAAACCGTTCGCACAGCACATGCCAACCGGCCGAGTCGCCCGCGCCAAATCGCCGCCCCTCCGAGCGACCACTCACCGTGATGGTGGGAGGATGTGGGATTGTGACGGGCATGGGCGAGCCCCCGCCCCTGATGGAGTCCCCGTTTAAAATCGTCACCGATCCCGCCGACTCCCCCTGCACGTGGAATCCAACGATCTGCGCCGGCTCATCACCTCTGGGGCCCCCGCTGGGAATCGGGGCCCCCGAGCCCTCTCGATCCATCCGCCGGGCACCAGCCGGGCAAAGGGACGAATCGGCCAACCTGCGCGAGCCCGCAGTCAGCTGCGGGAGGGCCTCTGCCCAGCGTCGGCAGCGGGGGGGCAGGCTCTGGCTGTCGGCGACCTAATGACGTCTTATAAGCCCCATTCAGCGCCTGACAAGGCGGATGCGCCCTTTTGCGAACACCCCGCGTTGGCGGTGAAGGAGCATGGTGGTGGGGATCCGAAGGCGGGCCCGCATCAGCCCGCATCAGCATGGTGCTGTTACGGCTAGAACTGATTGAGTGTTATAAATAACTGAATGTATGAAAAGATGACGAAGCACTAGGAATTACATTAAGGATGTTGATGAACGGACTGGGTATAAAGGACAGAACGTCTGTTGTCCTTTTGCCTCGGCTGTAAACCGTTGCCGTGGACTTGAGCGTACGATTCCCGTTCAGGGATCGCCACCCCTCGACCCTGCCTGCCTTCGTCAGTGCATGTACAGGCGGTCGTTCCTGTGCGCGCATTCCTGTGTGCGCGGACAGCGTTCACAGGACCACGTTGAGCTCCGGAGTGAGGAGTCATCACGCGGCTGGTGCGCATATACTGCTGAGCATAATGTGATGGTACCAATGAGCGTGGATGGCGCGCCGTTCGGATCGCCAACGACTGGCGCAGCAAGAGAACGCGATCGCTGTGGCGATTCCTGGAGCACGTGATGCAATTTTAGCTGGCTACCAATGCCCACGCACTGCCCGCAACTCGCCATGTTAGGATGATGGCGTCACTGAGAGTACGTTGGTAGATACCAGGCTTGGTCTTACAGCGTGAACACGGTGTACATACGCGTATTTATACATAAAATGGTGTTTACGTTTTCCCTGGTGAAACCGCGTAAAAATACGTAACTACGGGCCCCTTGTACATAAAGATAGTGCATGCAGACTCAAGGAGTCGGAGGAGAGGCAGCCAGACGCGTTGGAGTGGGCAAAAGACGGCCATTTGCTCAATGACGTCGTTGCCCTTGCCGAGGCGAGGTGGGCGCTAAGTGTGGGCGCTCCAGGGTGCGGAGGACTGATCATTGTTTGCCACTGCATCATGCAGCCTGGGTGTCTCAGCACACCGTAAGAATTCGTAAATACAGCTGTAAAATAGGCGTTTCTGTGTTTACGCGCTTTTACGAGTGAAAACATGCACGTGAAAATGGACACGTAATCGTAAAGACCAAACCTCGTACATACAGGGAGTCTGCATGCTGGGTTGCGTGGCAGGAGGGTGAAATGTGGAAGGAACTTCTTTTGATGATAGACAAAACACACTGGCATGACCAGATACCAATGGTATTCCAGCAAAGTGCCATGGGAGCGCTCGCGGATTATTGTACTAGCATTTGCCTTGAAAATAACCGTGTAGTGTTCAATCCTGCCCGATATTGGCTTGAAGCTTGACATTGATTCACCTTTTAGCTTTGCAGATTTCCGGGGCGTGACGTGTGACATGGTTTGGTGTCCAGGTTTCTGTGAGATCGGCCAGCCAAGCTATAGAGCTCGTACCCTAGCCAGCGCACGAAGAGTCGCAAGATCAAAGTTATTGGGACCTCTGAACGCGGGGTGGGCTGAGGCACGGATGGACCGGGCTCCAGAGTCACTTCCCACCCCACTGTCGATTCCCCCGAAGCTCTTGGTCCAGACCCCGCCTGACGGCAGCCGGGCGAAGCACTGTGCTCGCAATTGCCATATGCGACGTCACGTGATTGGGGGCAACGTGTGACGTGACTTTCGTTTATACTAATTCCCACACGTAGGATCGAATCGCCCACTGTGTTTGGCAGTGCATCCGCTTGGCGTCACGCGGACGCCTCTCACGCAGTGTTGTTTCAGACGTCAGGCCCTCACCGCATTTCATACAATATATTATTTTATACAACATTTTATAGTTCGTTCCGCAATTAACTTAAAGATAATTAACTCTAGGGACCCCCTGATGCCTCACACACTGCCCGATCACAGTGGAAAGAGCTTCCCCTATTTATTACACACTAGTATGCTATCAACAGGGGACCCCCTTTCGCTCTGACAGTGCAGTACGCGATTTACCTATGCGGGCGCAGGGTTGTGGGGAAAGGAGGACGCAAAGGGCAGAGGGGCGAACGGCAGGGCCGTGGCAATCTTGAAACCATTAACGGAATCCTGAATGTGGTAGTGAGTAACATCGTTCCTGTGGTGGATTGCGGAAACGGTTGAAGTGGTCGTGTCCATATTGGATGAGTAAATTAGCATCCTTACAGGCGACAAAACATTCGACACATTCGTCATGTCGCGTGTCTCTGCTGAACTCAGATAATCAAACGGCGCCCCCCTGCTAGCGGTCTACACTATCAATATTGGATGTTATGAGCGGATCGTGGTGTGCGTATCAATAGGGCAAAATGTCACGACCGTGCACCAGGCCTGCAGCAAATTGCAGTGAAACTGGTCACATGGCTCAGCCTTTTCCGCGTGAAGGATTGGATATTACCAGATGGGCCACCTCAACATGCAGAGCCGTCCCGCAACGACATGTCAAAGTGAAGCGGTACTGGCGGCGGGGCAACAAAACATGGCATAATTTAATGCCTGCACCATTCCTTGATCCGTTTGTTGCATTGGACGCGATGTGCGCAATCTTCAAACCCATTTTAGCAGTCACTCTTGCGGAATACCAAACACAAGTTCTTGAAGCTTAAATGGAAAGAAGAATTTTGAATGATCAAATGTTTTAAACGTTGGACGGGTTTCAGTAAGGAGCAGCTTTCATTCGGCCTGTTGGTGTTGTCGTTGATTTGTTAGTGAAGTCGCTGTCGCTGAAGTGCACTGACAACTGCTATTATCAAGTTTCCACTCATCGGACACTTCAGGGTAAGGGAAGATGCTATGTAGATTTTGATACGCTTAGCGCCAAATTTACACTACCCCCCCCAAAAGCGTCGATCCTTATGCCTATGGCTCAGCAGCGTTGCCAAACAACGCGATACTGCTTTGAAAATGTTTCTGAGGAATACTATTGCCAGGTTTGCAGCGATTGTATTGGACTAAAATGGGATTGTGAAGGCCACAGCAAGTGAAGGGGGCAGCCCTAGAGGCGGTCAGATGGGATAACATAGGGCCTTTTAAAGATTGGTCAGTTGCGGGAGGTTTTCGAGCAAGCCATAAGTGGTTTGCCATTCATCAAGGGCGTTAGGGGCACGTCCACAGCTTATATCGGTTTTGCGGCAATTATATAGTATCTCAGCGTCATATATCTGGAAACCTCCCCCACCCAAACCCATCAACCCTCTTAGGTAAGACATTATTTTTTGAATTCGGTGCTCTTAGCGTCAAACGGACGCTAACGGGGTGGGAGTGGGGTGATGGGCCCGGCCATGGACGCCAATGTATTATGTGATTGCACTGAAATCAAAATAAGGTCAGATGATCCCCAAGCAAGTGACAAGCAATTCATGACTTGTTCCAGAATTTCTCTAAAGCATCCAGGCTTCAATAAGGTCGCTAGAATTGATCTATTCACCGTCTTCGGCGCTGCTCCCATTGTTCTTTATGGCTTTAGCATCCCTTTGTTAACCTACTGCGATTGCTACAACTCGGACGGTTTTCTTCCAACAACCATCTTGATGGCGTATCATTAGGTGATGTTGATGAGCATCCTTGGGAGAAGGGGGCGCTGAGCTCGGCGTCCACTTAACGTTAAGTGTACAAAGTTCAAAACATTATCTTCCCAAGACACACCGCGTCTTCGGGAAGACCCTATTTTGATTTTGGTATGCTTAGCGTCAATGTGACGTTAAGCTCCCTTCCCCCATATCTGTTGGATAATATCCATATTATGAGGAGAGCATCTCACATGCATCTCCTCCCCACTTCAGTCGTGATTTGTGTTTGATGGCCGCTTTGAGTCGGTTGGAGGTGGCCTTGGTGTCACAGTTCATATCAGGACACTATCGCACTGGGGCATATTTGCATCGATTCGGGCGTCGGGATGACTGCCGCTGTCAGTGGTGTGATGCGGTGGTCGATGACCGTGAGCATCGCCTTTCCCCGTGTCCTCGCTTCACTGTGCTTCGCCAGTGGCTACGTTCGATGGTTTGTGCTGAGATTCAGGACGTCCATGATTGGACATGGGAGTATCTACTGAGGCCAGGTCGACGGTTTCTTGCTCAGTTCCTTCGGGCAGCTCGGT